ACGATCTCGGCTCACTGCAACCTCTGCCTCCCAGGTTCAAGCGATTCTCCTGCCTCAGCCTCCCGAGTAACTGGGATTACAGGCGCGTGCCACCACGCCTGGCTAATTTTTGTATTTTTAGTAGAGACGGGGTTTTGCCATGTTGGCCAGGCTGGTCTCAAACTCCTGACCTCGTGATCCACCCACCTCAGCCTCCCAAAGTGTTGGGATTACAGGCGTGAGTCACCGTGCCCAGCCCAATTTTTCCTTTTTTAGTCTTTAGAGACAAGGTCTGCTTGGTCACCCCTGCTGGAGTACAGCGGCATGATCGTAGCTCACATAACCTCGATCTCCTGGGCTCAAGCAGTCCATTCACATCAGCCTCTCAAGTAGCTGGGACTGCAGGTGCGGGTCACTATGCCCCGCTAAGTTTTAAAATTTTTTTTTGTAGAGACAGAGTCTCACTTTGTTGCCCAGGCTGACCTTAAACTCCTGGCCTCAATCATTCCTCTTGGCTCAGCCTCCCAAAGTCCTGGGATTATAGGCTTAACCTCTATTTTAAAACACAAATCTCACTTCCCTTCCAGAGCATCATTCATGCCTGGCTTTCCTCCTACATTGGTTTTCTTTTCTGGATCCTTCTCTTTTCCCAGACTGCTAAATATTGGTTCTGAGGCTGCTCTTGTAGCTCTACGCTTATTTCCTCACTGATTGCATCAGAGTCCCATGATGATGAGTCCCAGGCTCTCCATGACCTCTTCTGAATGGCTCTCTGATTTAATCTCCTGATGAATTGCTCTCCCACTCTCTCATTTCTAGACCCACTGCCAACCTCAGGGCCTTTCCACTCGCTGTTCCTCCTTCCATAGTTCCTCCCTTACTTCACTCAAATGTCTGCTAAAGCTCAAATGCTGTCTCTTCAGAGAGTCCTTCCATTGACCACCTTATCTAAAATGACACACACCACTCCAGACCTCCTCTCACCCCTTATCCTGCTTCCCTGTTTACTTATCTGTTATCTGTTCCCCTAGGAGGGCACAGACTTTTCTGTCTTGTTCACTGTTATATCTCCAGGTCCTAGAACACTAACTGGTACATGGTAAGCACTGTAAATGTTGGAATGAATGAATGCTGCTTCCTCTGACTAGAATGTCATCCCATCTGCCTAATTCCTACTGCAAAAATAAAACCACTTGTCTTAATAGTTTGTTTTGCGCAGAGCATACAACTTGATTACATTTAATTTTTTAGTTGACACTGACAGACCTAGACCTCATCATAAAAATATCTTTGTTTAAGCATTTTCTTGGTTTTTTATTTATTTATTTATTTATTTATTTATTTATTTTTTTTTTTTGAGACGGAGTCTCGCTGTGTTGCCCAGGCTGGAGTGCAGTGGCCGGATCTCAGCTCATTGCAAGCTCCGCCTCCCGGGTTTTTACGCCATTCTCCTGCCTCAGCCTCCCGAGTAGCTGGGACTACAGGCGCCCACCACCTC